GTAAAGTCGCATTTGTGAGCGACTAAATTTCATCTTATAAATAAAGGCCGAATTGGCCCTCAAGAGCAGTATTCGCTTGTTGCTTTATTAAATAATAAGTTCCAATTACTATACAATTGCCCAATAAATAATACACTAACACTATACCCTGATAAACCCTATATAACCGTTATAAACATCGTTGTTGCTGAACTCTTTATCATGTGACTTAACCGACCTGCTTTCGTTAACCTCAAGTAACCGAAGCCTTAATCACCCACCAGCCAAATCTAACACGCCTCTTTCGTAAGGTTACCTACTGTCAGTTACATGAGTTTTTGGATTGTGGAGCGACCGAGTCGCAGTTATCCCGACCATAACACCATCCTCTTACCAGTTATGCACGTTGTGGAAAGGTAAATTATCACCGAAATTACTGCGGTTCCCAATCTAGTACAAATTCAGAATCCAAAAATCTCTGAGATATCAAAGATCCCCAAGATAATAGATATATTAGAGATAGTTAAAATCTTTAGTATTTCTGATATCTTAATTATATAGTACTTTAATCATTTAATCTTGACAAAAATTTAATATTCGATCAACAGTAATCTCTTCACTATTGCAGACTGCTAAAAAATAAATTTATAATCGATAGTTTAGCTATTTCTTTGGTCTTATGTTGAATTCTATTAATCTTTTCCATCTATAGACGAATATGTTAAAAATAAATTGGCATTTTCATTATCAATTGGTGTGCTCAAACCAGCTTCCATAATGTATTTATTTATATTTTTTAAGCTTTCAATTATAATTTCCTTAAAACGATATTATTAAAAGTTTAAAAACAAAAAGAAAAAAGAAAAAAAATTAATACCTTAAAAAACAGAAAAGTTGGCACACATCGACATAATAAAGATATATTAATACTTGTTGTTGGCAGACTAGTTTAGGTAACTTCTCTAAAAATGTAAATTCCTTTATTTGAAATAAAAAGCTCATATACAGTTACTATATGATCTAAAAATATGAAATATTATTTAAGTATTTAACGTTAATCACAAAAAATATGCTAGCTCAACGAATTCTCACTATAGACTTGTAGCCCATAAAGTCTTAGAAGGTTTAGGTTTGTTTTTGTGCTGCCATATACTCATACTATTCTATTTAATATAACCTTTAACATTTTGGCCACCTTGATTTTGTCACTAAAGTAATGGGAATTTCAGTGTTTATTTAGAGGCCCACTTATCTCTGCAATAGCAAATTCTATTTTTAAGGGCTTAGTGGCCCAAACAATATCTATTTTATGACTATTACTGCGATACTCTTTATCATCTTTTGTTAGGTCAAAGTCTTCAGCAGAGGTGAACAAATTCTTCTCACCACTAATTATTTTTTATCATTTTATATTAATATAATAGTCTTTGAAATACAGAGCGTGGTAATATGAAAGTTCACTTGCAAATAGATTTCCATGTCCTTAAAATTTTTTTGAAATAGATTAGTGATTAATGGTGTTAAAAACATCTCTCAATACATTCTTTCAGATAAGGCGTCGTTTAATAAGTCATTATTTCTTTCAAATGAATGAACTCTGTGTAGATAAAGGTAAGAAGCTAATTTCTTAACATTAAACTAACTTAATTCTACACATGTGGAAAATAAATATCACAAATATTACAGTAAATTTATGTAATTCCACAAAAATTCTTTTTCATCATCATTATGAGTGAGTAAATAATGATCAACGACTGATTTTTTAAAATCAGTAACCTATAAAAAGTTTGTTATGAAATGTTATTAAAGATAATAAAGTAAATTAAGAGAAATTATCATGTATCTTTATCATATTATTAATAAAAGCTTTGATTTCATTATAATCTCTTTCTTTGAGTGTCGATTCATGAGTTATAAGCTTATTATATACTTCTGGTCGCAAATAACTTTTGACAAAATCACTATTCGTGCCCAGAGTGAGATCTAGTATGTCATAATATGCGAGACTGTTGAAAAACTTTAGTAAAGTTTATGGTAGTTTAAAAATTAAAATTTTTTTCTTACAGAAAAAAAGAACATACTCGTCACGAGGTAGATTATTTTTCAATTTTCAGTTCAATAGCGACACTCTAATATTAAAGTTTCCAATGATCAAATCTTCATCTACATCTATGCTTTCTTTTGTTAAAAGTTCGAATGTGGAATCTTTTTGAATGCGCTGTCTTTTTATTTCATTACCATCAAATAAACACGCCTATTGAGAAATAATATATTCTTATAGTATAATATTAAATAAGGTAGCCAGCATAAAGATAATAACTTATAGCATTTGCTTTCTCATTGTTTCTTTTCAATGAGGGAGGTTTGCGCTTAAAATTAGTTAACTTGTTACTAATCATTTGCACCATGACTTCCAATCTATATAAATTGGTTTTGGCATCAAATATATTTCTATTGGCCTATAAATATATCAATATTATATTTATTAACGATATTAACTAGTATTCATCTTATCTTTTTATCCATCTGAGCAAAAAATGCTACAATTTCTTTGAATTTAAAATTACTCCACATTTTTGTAAATTTTTATAGCTTTATCGCATGCTTTTCAGTTTGATGACTAGTTAACAGATACTGAATATAACTGTCTTTTTAATTCTATTAAAATTTCTTCTTTATTTTCAGATATCCTCCCCGA